GTGTGTCCAGACAGTTTGATAGACATACTGGTACCTGGTATGTGAGTGTGTCCAGATAGTGTAAGGAACATACTGGTACCTGATATGAGTGTGTCCAGACAGTTTGATAGACATACTGGTACCTGGTATGTGAGTGTGTCCAGATAGTGCGAGGAACATACTGGTACCTGATATGAGTGTGCCAGACAGTTTGATAGACATACTGGTACCTGATATGAGTGTGTCCAGACAGTTTGATTGACATACTAGTAGCTGATATGAGTGTGTCCAGACAGTTTGATAGACATACTGGTACCTGGTATGAGAGTGTCCAGACAGTTTGATAGACATACTGGTACCTGATATGAGTGTGTCCAGACAGTTTGATAGACATACTGGTGCCTGATATGAGTGTGTCCAGACAGATTGATAGACATACTGGTACCTGATATGAGTGTGTCCAGACAGTTTGATAGACATACTGGTACCTGGTATGTGAGTGTGTCCAGATAGTGTAAGGAACATACTGGTACCTGATATGTGTGTCCAGACAGTGTAAGGGAGTGGTACCTGTACCCGAGAGGAGTGTGGGCACACTGGTACCTGACAGACATGTAACCAGAAAATGAGTAGAAGAATTAAAGTACTTACCAATTGAGCAAGGGCATCGCCATACTGAGCATAAATTCCCCAATTCTTGGGATTGACTTCTCTTGCTTGTTTATACAATTGTAGTGCTTGTTCATGTTCACCAATAAAGAAATGATACTTTGCCATATTAAGAATGGCCTCCACAAAGTAGGCATCCCTCGCCATTGCTTCTTTGGTCACCTAGCATTAAAGAAACAAAATATTTGTGGTTAATTTTTCCTTCAGTTCCTGTAAAATATTTACAAAAAAATATTGTAAATTACAAAATCATACGCCATTTTTCACTGAAAAAAATCTGGAACTCAATTTGTATTGTTACTATAGCCAAGTAATATAGAAAATGAATGTCAGTCTTTTGATATAACATGCACATAACTGACATGCAAAATGACCAAAAAAATTATTATTTTTTTCATAATCTTATTAGCATGAGGGCATCCTCTGCTTTGACCATAGAGGGATTACTCATGCACTCATCCTGTTCAAGAAAAAAAATATTTGAAAGTGTATTTTTAAGTTTTATTTATGTCTACAGTCGGATTATTATTTTTGGTAGTGTACATTGTGTCCTTCCTTTTTTTATGAATAGTTCAATGGTCACTGAGACTGAGACTAATCTGAACATCACTTGAACTCAGCAGGGAGCTGTAATGAGCTCCCTGAACTCAGTGACATAATTGGGCGCCCTCTAGTGTCAATATTCAGACAGTGAGCGCAACTATAGTGCTTTTAGGGAATAACAATCTTTATTAAATCAAGAATCTGTATTTTAATTAGCACTTAAATTGAGTTGTGGCATTGATTGATGAGTCATTATTACTAAAAATATACTTTTGCGCATACATAATATATAGCACATTGAGTAGCTACTGTAGCAGTATTATATTTCACTGGTGTTTAATTTCATTACTGTAGAATACTTTATTTTAGCTGGAATTAATTTTTGCTGAAAAGACTTTTTAAGTGTTTTGTATGGAATTTATTTTGACAAGTTGTAGGAAAAAAGGTATATTTACTGGACTTTATTTTCACTGAATCATTCATTCAGTGAAAATAGCAAGAAAATAAAATATTTTACAGTATACTGTTGATTTAAGCTTATTCATTAGGTTTTAAAGTGGATGGGATCATCATCAGCTGCGCATGTACAGAAATTGAATCCCAAGCGACGATAACAATGCATGCTTAAAATGCAAAAGCTCATGGGTAGACGCTTGTTTGTAAACAACAACACACTATGGCCGTCTGCCGCATGTGCAGGTGACCACTCGCCCCGCTTTAAATTCATGGATTTGCCAGTGTGTTTTAATTTTTACATCTTCTAGACTTTTTTTAATTTAGCAGATTTTACTTCACAATGAAAATAAAACTCAGTGAAAAATGAATGTGCTTACAGTATTTGAACTTTATAATGCCTGTGTCCTGTCAACCACAAACAATTATATTTTAATAAAAAAAAACACCATTAGTTGTTACCTTCATTGCCCGTACTGTATCTTGAGTTTCAGTGAATATAGCAAAGCCAAGAAGGTTTAATACCTCAGAATTTTCTGGAGATAAAGTTTGAGTTGCGTTACTATAACAACAGTAAATAAAACCATTGAGATAAAGTGTGTATTCATGTACAGGTCATGTACAACAATTCAACTCTCCATATATGACAATGACAATGAAAAAACTTGATATGCTTGATATTTTACTCGTAAGAGGCAATAATCAACTTAAAAGTGCCTACAATTTTCAAAAATTAAAAAGAGTGATTTTTCTATAGCTTTTAAAATCCATTGGTAAAGAGCATCATCGCAGTGCTGAAAGACCCAAAAATGAAGATGATTCAACTACACTT